ATCTTCTAGCTTTTATAGTTTCCGAGATCTCAGCGTTCATACGGACAGACAGACAGACGGACAGACAGACGGACAGACGGACAGACGGACAGACGGACAGACGGACATGGCTATATCGACTCGGCTAGTGACCCTGATCAAGAATATATATACTTTATAGGGTCGGAAACGCTTCCTTCTAGCTGTTACATACTTTTGCACGAATACAATATACCCTTTTACTCTACGAGTAACGGGTATAAATACGAATTCGGGAGTATTGAAATTAACTTAAAATAGTTTTAAAGACTACCATACTATGAGCACCTTAAGAGGGGGAAATCATTTAGGAGGTCAAATATTTAAAGGGGAGCAAACTTGGTTTGAAATTGTTGATGTGTATAGCCCGTTCATACAACATCTGCCCCAATTTCTTCATGTATTTCATAATTGCATAGGAAATTTGGCAACAAAAGATTTTGAGGATATTCCTAAATAGCAAAGGAATGAATCAAATCTTCCAAATTTAGGACAAACTAATTAGTAAGTTATTTTCTTTCAGTAAGTTTTTCTTTTATGTTTTGGAAAATGAAGACTATTAAAGAGATTGATGTGGTTGCGCTGGCCACTTTTCTTTACGCTCTTTCGTTCGACTTCAGTTTTTGGTTTTCTATTTTTTTGGGCATTTTCCAGATTCGATTTTTCTCGAACGTGAACATGGCTGGGGAATCGGTTTTTCCGTTCGCAATTGTTTACACGAAAACTATAAACAAAGCAAACACACGGCGTCCGCCGCCGCGCCTTGCCCTCATTGATGTTATTTTTGGCCACTGGGCATGAGGCAGCACTAACTCTCCATCCTCTCCAGCCGTCCATGTTATGTGCGTTCCACATAGCAGCCGGTCAGATGAAGACGTTGGGGCCGATGGGTGGGAATGGGGATGGGCATGGGAATGGGGGTCGGGATGGAGTGGGGATGGGCTGCCGTTGTGGCGGGGTGGGTGAACGAATCGCAGGGGCGGAATACTTAAAGGTGCCACATACGCATCGTTCGATTTGGATGCGGTCGGCTTCTTGGCATTTTGTTTATGCAACAATAAATTTTACATTTAATTTTCGTTTCATTTGAAATGCTACAGCAATGTCGAAGAATGCCCCGATTTGGATCTGAATTGGATCTGCTCTCGGCGGGAAAGAAATTTGTTAAATTTCGCGTACCGGGGGAATCTGGCAAGTATTGTTCTTCATATTTATATTTCTTTGTTCGGGCTGTGATATAATTCAATATTAATCGAAATTCGCAATTCAGATTAAATTCTGAGCAATTAAAAATATTTTAATCGAAAAATAACAGAATGCTGAATACAATATTGTTTTCTTTTTTTTTCGTTTCTTGATTTCAAAAAAGTTCTTGTGAAATTAGTGGACCTGCATAGTACAATTTAAATGTAAACACGTATTTCATGATATTTTAGGAAATTACTCATTGGCTGTTGGCCCTGTTGATCTCCGGCATTCATTCCAGTTTTCAAAGTCGCTTTTTCCAAAATCTTTTTACTTTGATCTTGTAAATTGTATGCAGACATAAGAATTGCTCCCTCTTACAGTTTTTTAATCATCAAAATATCATAAAAAGCTCTAAAAAAACTCAAAGATTCTTCCTTCTACATTTAATTAATCTTTTTTATTTTTGATGATAATGATTCTGATTATGACAAATGCAAATGAGCCGCAAAATGAGTTGCATGCGTCGTTGAAACGCTTGACTTTGATTAAACAGAAAAATAGTTCCCCAAAATACCTTTTCAAATGCGCAAGATAATGGGAACATACTTACAGGAATGCAGATAGCTTTATTACTTGCAATTGTTGGCCAAACTCATAGTAAATACGCCTTTTTCCCTTTCCTGTCGTTGTTTAAATAAAACGCCAGTAAGCGGAAAAAGACAAATCGACTAGAATTTATATATACACTTTTAGTTTATTCGACACATACCGATCCGAACACATGGCACCGTGATGAGATTGGTTCTTGTGTTTTTGCTTGTTTAGAAATTGAATTAATTTAATTTGGTTCGATTGATTTATGGACCAATCTGTGCTCTGGAAAACTGTGCCAAGAGGCGGCTGATGCTGATCAGCGCCGCTGTCTAATGATCGAGAATCTATATGCACGGGCATACGAAAATAGTTTTATTTTTATAACTGTGTGCTGGTTTGGTTTCTTTTTTTTATGGACTTCCCCCACATACGCAATGGACGGGATGGACGACGATGATGATGAAGCTGATGGCATCTGCCAATGCACAGCTGTCTTCCGATGCCAACTATATGTACGCACATATATATTTATAAAGATATCTGGGCAAGGAAGTTGTAAACCACTCGGGTGGAGGCTGCCCATTAAGTTGTGATTTGTTTCACGGGGCTGGCAATTAGGAGCGTCATCCACCTACTCCAAAATCCGTGCGGAGACAAAGGCCGCGAAAATGTGGGAAAATTCAGCAACCAAATGCACGGCCAAGGGTGGCGGCTGGGAAAGCCGGGAAATCGGCGGGGCCGGAATAAACAAAAACGGCGACATGCCAAATGAAACGAGCAGTGCAAAAAGCGCAAAACTTTCGGCAGTCAGAAAACACAAAAAAAAAGACAGACAGCCAGAGCGGAATATATGCGGACGTGCGGGCATGTATAGGAAAAATAAATAAAACCGAAAATTATGAAAAACAGGCGGCCGTAGTAGGTTGAAGCGGCCGCCAGCGACACGAGTGGATTTTTGGATTTTTAAATATTTTTAGCCAAAAGGCAAAAGCGAATATTTTGCCAGTCGAGTGGGATATTGGAAAGATGAAAAATTATCGTCACTGTGTGTGTGTATTTGTGTGGGTGTGGTTTATCTGGGGTCTTGGCAACAGGGGCCGAAAAACGCCCACTTCCGTACGAAGTCTTTGAAACAGATCCTGTTCTCAGAACACCACTTGGCAGCACACAGCACAATCAAAATCAGTTTTAATACATATATTTAATAATGTTTGGTGTTTTTTTCTTCAGATGCCTAGGTGGGAGGACTTTCCTTTTATTACTGTGTGGTTTTCCGATCGCTTGTGGACTGCTTGAAATCTTAAAAGCGAACCGTACACGCTGACGCTTCGCGACGCACTGCACCTACGCTCCAAAATTTTGAAAACTCAAAGACATTCAGAAAATTCTATTCACGAAATGAATGGGCGTGGGAGCGAGATGGCACTGTTGGAAAAGAAAGAGAGGGGGTTAGAAAATTGAAAAGAGAGGCAGCGAGCGTGCGATGAATGGCTGCTCTCAAGTGCAGAGGAACGATCCGAACCATCCGATCGCGAGCCAAGGAGCCAGGCAATTTATGCTGCTGCTCAATGGCAGCAGATGGGCAGCCCCACCACCCACTCCGACCACAACACCCACCCACCCACCAATTCACGCCCCATGGCATAGAAAAATCCGTGTCTAAAATCGGGAAAAAAAAAAAAGAAAGGGGGAAACGAATCGATGAGTGCAGTTCGGCGTCAAAGTTCAAGCTGTTTTCGCAGTCGAGCGGGGAGAATTCTACACTTTTCACAACTCGGTGATCGGCTGTTTAGCCTAAACATGGCCGCAGCCACACCCAGTCTTCCAGCCCGGATACCCACTCCGGGTCCGGCCGTAGACTAGTCAGCCGGTGTATCTATCAGTTGGCGGGGTGAAAATAAACAACAAAGGGGGAAAATACACAAAAAAAGGAGAGCAGCGAATATGAACATTCTTATTCTCTAAACATTCCTGGATGTTTATGTTTTCCCTTTTTCCTCGGGCGGAACTCGTTGTGCTCAAGTGCTGGGCCTGCGTTGAAACAAGATTCCGTAAAGATTCTAAAACGCTTAGTTAGGGCTCCCAGTTTTCCGAAATAATGCCGCCCCTCCTGATTTTCCATTTAACTTTCTCTCACATTGTAAACATTTCACTTGACGCTTGATGCTAAATTTAACATTTTCGCTTTCGGGCAAAACAGGCAAATAAATTACGGAAATAAACAAAAATAAGAAGCAGCAGCGGCAACAAAAAACTAAAGTTACCTGCGCTTCGAATTGCGGTTTCTTTTTATTGCTGGAGAATTTATAAAAAGAAAAAATAAATATGTTGAGTAAAATGGGAAATGCATGGGTGGCAAAAGGGCAGGGAAAACTATAAACAAACGCCTGGGTTCGGAGGAGGTCGATTTGGTTGGGTTTTTAATGCGGATAACGGCTGCAGCTAAGATAAAATTATGTAATTTTATAGCTGCACTTATGCATGCCTGCTATTACAGAATCATATAACTTGTCAATTATCGGATGAGTTTACAGCTTCCGTCAGAAATTCCTTGAAGATGTAAATAAAAGGAGCAATACGTTAAGCCCAAATTCATCTACGATAATTGATATTAATTCCCGTAGTATAGGCAGACTGATTTGCTTCCGACACTATTAAAAAAATGGAATTTGGCTTTAAGACTTTTGATAAGCTTGATTCTAATAAACACACTCTGTGAAGTTATCATTCTACTGCTGTTTTCAAAATGTCTAAATTTGTATACCATTTAAAAGTTTTCCTAGAATCGGTTAAGAAAAACACACATATCTATATCATATGCAATAATTTATAAAAATTAGATTATTTAATCGAATTTTATTCAAACAAACCAATTTTATCTGTCGTTCTAAGCTTGTAATAAATGTGATTTTTTCTTTCAGGCAGCCTTGTAAAATACTTGTATGTTCCTAACAGGGACGACTAAAATTATAAAAGATGATATCTTAAAAAATTTGAAATTATCTTCTTCTAGTTTTTAAGGTGCTAAGAATGTTAATATAATATTTCCAAATTATGAACTAACACTTTCCCAAATTATTTTTTTGAGACATATCTACCGTACGGGTTACTTTATTTCAAAACATGTTTCCAAAATTAGTTTATATTTATGTTTTTTTTCTTCTCAACAAACTATAAACTAAAAATCGTATCCTAATGGGAGTACTACCAAATGCTAGGTCACATTTTCTCCATCAAATTTGACAATCACACAGTTATTTATTCGTTGCCTAAATTTTCTATTAACAATGAGCGAAAATGAAGATAGTAACGGGGAGCCGGTTTCGACCATCGAGTCGATAGTGGACAACATGTTCACCCGACTGCGCATCATCTCTGTGGACGTGGAGAAGTTGCAGAAGGCCAAGGAGAAACTGGCGAACATTCAGCGGCGGAACACCTTCTTCCACCTTCTGGGTCAGGATGAGGAAGCCAGCTTTTACCGGGCCGGAAGTGATATGCAGGTCCTCCGCTCTAGATATTCTTTAATGTCGGAAGTTAACCATAAATCAGACGGGGGCTCCGAGGAGGAAGTCGACTTCGAGGAGTTGAGCGAGGACCTGTGCCTAATCCCATTCGAGGAGGATCGCTGGCATGGCTACTTCAAAGGCTTCCAGATCCTGACCTCTCCGATGGCACCCGATCCCAACGAGAATCGCAAGTGTATCGAACTTACGGCAATGCTGAGCTGCGAACAAGAGCTCAAAAGTTATCTTCGTGAGTTTGAAAGATGATATTACTACATATTTTCGTAAGCACATTTCCCATTACTTTTTCATTTATACACCTCTGAAATTGATTTTGCCTAAGTTATTTTTATAATTCATAAACGAAAAGGATCGGCATTTAAAGAAACATACCAGTAAAATCCATACAGAAAATTTCAAAAATAAACACCACCAACTCCAAATTTTAATTGGAAATTAATTTTTGGTAGTAGGAGTAGGAAGATAGTGATACCTTTTTCCTCCTTAAAAAGCATAGTCAATACTTCAGAGGTGTAAAATTGTGTCTGCTCCTTAGATAAACTCTCGCGTGATGATATATGTATGATAATTGTTTTTAGACTTAGAAAGCATCAAATAATAATTTCAAACCACATCCTCTTTACTTTCAGTAAACGGAGTCCGCTGCTTCCTGATTAATCTTTTCGTCGGCACCCAGCATGACAACCAGAGCCTGATCGTGAGGGTGCGTGAGGCTGAGATTAGTGTTTCCAAGGAGCTGGGCTTCCCGGTGACGTCCTCAGTCATGGTAAAGCTTTCGCCGCGCCACCAGTTTACCGGCGGGTTCAGCACTCAATTCCGCCAGGAAGGCAAGACGTCTGTCGACCTGGTGCAGGGCCAGAAGATAATCCTGACCGTGGACCGGGATTACTCCGACCGGTGCAGCTCGGATGTGATATATGTGAACGCCCGCTTTCTGCTCGTCGATGTGCAACACTTTGACTTCATCCTGATTGGCGAGGACATCCAGCTGATGGTGCGGAGCATCCACGCGGACCACCTCAGGTGCTGTGTGGCCCGGGGCGGAGTGTTGTTCGCCTACATGCCTGTGCTGTTTCCGGCCAGGTGTCCCCGATTCCGGGTCTCGTACGAGGAGCTGGAGGACCTCACTTTCGCCCGAGAGGTGGGTCTGAATGTGGTGATTTCCCATATTGTGGGCACCCCGAAGTACCTGGACGATTTGGAGCATGCGATGGCCGCCATGCACTGCGATGGAATGCGGCTGTACGCCAGAGTGGTCCTCAATGAGATCCAGGGCTGCAAAGGGGAGCTAAACTGGGCCACCAAGCGCTACGATGGCTTCCTAGTAGAACTGCAGCAGCCGGCAATTGTTCCGGACATCATGCACCTCTGCCCCGACGCCGAGTGCTTCATGCAGCTGGCCTACGCTTCGCAGAAGCCCATCATCTTTGATCCGCGGCTTCTAGACGAGCAGAAGCTTAGGGTCGACCCGGCGCATTACTACTACACGTTCTACTATCCGGACAAGTACGTGGTTTCCTGCCCCCAGCCGAAAATGACCTGCTACTTCCGCTACCTGCAAGACGCCATCTTCCAGCAGATCTGTCCACAGGCGCTGGCCAGTAGTCCCTATTGCGATCGCTCCCACACGGGAGCGGATAGCCTAGCTCGGGCAGTGGTAACAGCCTCCATGGAGGTTCATGCGGTGTCGATCGTCGTGGTCGGAGTGACCACGCGGATGGTGCAGAAGATCGCCCACTTTCGGCCGCAGGCTCCCATCCTCTTCGTCAGCCACATGCGCTCTGCCGAGGATTACGTTTCGATGTATCACAACGTCACAATGCTCCCAATCCGCACCAAATGCCTTACCGCGCATCGCAGGAATATCTTCCGAAAGGCCATCTACGGCTTGGCCTACTTGGTCACCCGCAAGATCGCCAAGCAGAACGATCCCGTGATCCTGGTTTACAACCACGAAGAGGGTACTTCGTTCCCCGAAAAGTATATCGTCTACAAGCTTGACAAGGCTCACTTTGCCTCGCACATGGCTGAAACTCTTTTCCCTATGGACTACGACCAGAAGCCTCCGAGCCTCAAGGATTTTGAGACCAATTAGATCCCATTCATGTGTGTAGATTATTTATTTGGTTTGGTGAGTAATCGGAATGTTAATGTGTTAACTTAGAATATACAAAACAGATAAAGATACATACATAAATATATAGATACACATTTCCTACACTGATCTAGAAACTTTCCATCAGCTTCTGTACAGGATCGATTCCCATAATTCTATGAGGGAGTTTCGTCTTTAAAGGTATATACAGGCTACAAACGGGAAATCTACAGTAGCGGTTCCAATTTACCTAAGCTTCACAGTGCCAACAAAGAATTTACCAGTTCCCTTTTAACTTATCCTTTCGATTAAAGCCCCGTATTTTCGGGGTTTATCAACTACCGAGACAATAGATTTAACAAGTAAAAAACGATAAATATTACACCTGCTATCTTTGGGCTAAGTCCGCTCAGGGATTCTTTTGCAAGGCTTTCAAGGTCACATGTTCATAGGCGGCCTTCAGTGTGGTGTAGCAATAGCCGGCCATTCCATTCATCTCGGCCTGGAAGTTGGGCCCACCCGTCAGATCGTCCAGCAAAGCCAGTTCCGCACCCAAGTGGGGAACCGCAGCGCGCAGCATTGTGAGCATAGTGAGCGGTATCATGTTGTCCGCATTGAGCTGGGCGGCATTATCTATAAATCAGGGCAATTAACGAACAGTTTCACAGATTACAAAGCGGGTGAGAACTCACCAGCCATGGCGTGCTCGTAGGCCTCGGTTAGCAGCTGCGTGCTGCGCTGTATCACAGTCAACATGTCCTGAGGACTAAACTTCTCCTGCAGTTCCTTCAGTGTCTGGACTGACTCCTGGAATTTAGGGTCCAGCATCACATTATGGAGGAAACTAAAACGAAAACAACACTTTTACTTTAATTTTTGTATGAACCGTGCGTAATACATAAAATGGAATAAACGAAGCTAATTGTTATAAAAAGGTAACTTTTATACTTTGGGTTCTCTTTAACTGATACATTTTTAAACTCTGTATGTGTCTTTTGTAATGCTGTTTTCATGCTATAATTTTTATCAATTTTTTTATAATTGAAACTAAAATAGGACCCCGTTTATAAGATTAAAACGAAAAATATGGTAAAATTAGATTTCAAAGATTTTTCAAAAGATGTTTTTGAAAGCGCTTTTAAAATTTACCTATAAACAACAAGGGTATAGTTCTAAAATGCATATTAATATGCTAACAAATTTACAGGCAAGTTTGATTTTTCCCTTTGTGATTATTTTGTTTACCTCTCATGGCCCATAAGTTCAACAAGTTCTTGGTCCTTAAGTTTCTCGGCAAGATTCAGATTCTGCCGGTACATTTCGTCTTTTCGACTGTACTTATTTGCGTACAACACAAATAAGGTTGAGTAGATTCCCTCCGATAGCACCAAAGGGTACAGCAGGGTAATATGCGATATAACCTCCCTGCTTCCCTCCATATGACAATAGTCCTCGGGCAAAGCAGGAAACATCTTGCGTACAAAGCGGTAAATGCGTCTTGATATAGACTCCCACTCTCTCATCGCCTGTTTAGCCAGGATCGGGGTGGGTTTAACCTTCCAGTAGCCATATGAATAGTGAAAACAGTTCGCGATGCGGTCGTTCAAAGCGTACAGCGGATGATGGCGATCCTTGAAAGCCTGCTCCAGGTACAAGCGTATAGAGGCCACATCCTGCTCTGTGAGCACCGAGGCCATTCCAAAACTGGGCACCTGCTCCAGCATTGCACTCGTCGTGGATGTGGTCGAGGTAATGGAGCAATCGCTGTTGTTCATGTGCTTTGAAATGCTGTTATTGTTGTTGTTGTGACTTAATTTTGAAAAACTTTCGTTAAGCGTGCTGGATTCTTCGCCATTGACAGTGCTGTTCAGAAGGGTTGGGTCCAACTGAAAACTGGCCAGACTGCTAGTGTCCAAGTCACGAGATGAATTGTGACCCATAGAGAGCAAGCTATCCGCCCTCTGCAATCCACCAGGCTTGCTGTTAAGTGTCTCTTGGGAATGGATGCGTCGTGGTGGAAATCCCAGAAAGTCCAGCGCCGATGCAGCCTCCGTTTGCAGCTTGCTAAGTGCGTTTGTGGTAGTCCGCGCTTTCGCCAGCGGGGAAGAAGTCTTCTGTGGCAGCGGCAAACTGAGCAGGATGTTGTTAAAGTAGTTCCCAGGCTTGGCTCCCTCCCGAGCCCGTTGCTTGCTCATGTACACTGCAATGCAGTTCCAGAGTTGGGCCGTGCTGAGTGATGGTTTCGAGGATTTCCTGAGGGTACCTCCTGATGGAATACCTCCTGAGCTGCTGTTGGTCGCCGTGCAATTGGCCAGGTCGGATTCAAAGTTGTTGAACAGCGAGCGCCATTTGCGATTGTGATCCACCACTTGACGTCCCAGTGAGCTAAATAAAGATAATAATAGTTAAAGCTCTGTGATCCTTACAGTTTTCATAATATAAAAGTATTATTTTTGTATTAAAAATACATAACGTGTTGAAAAAAGTTAAATGGTTGTTTTTGGTAAAGGCCTTTTTTTAAACTGGTGAAATAACTCAATGACCTCAAAATATTTATTTTGGGTTCCATTAACTCACCTGGGGTATTTGGGAAAGCGTCGATTTAGCACCAGCTCGCCAGCCTGTATGCGCACCGTCTCCCAGCTGCCGCTGAGCTGTCCGAACATCTTGTTGCCGATCAGCTCGCAGGTGTCATCGGACTCCCCGGCCGGTATAACTCCACTTCCTCCACACGCATCTCCACTGGGCATGTAATACTCCCCCCGCCCGTTGGGACCGTTAAGAGTGAGTTCGCCCTCATAGTAATAGTCATTCTCGAAGACCGCAACCCCACTACCCATTAGATCGTCTCCGGAGAAGCTCCCCTCGAAGTAGTCGCCTCGGTTGGTGATGCAGCTGCCGATCCCCGAACGCTTGTTGTCTGCAAACATGCCCATGTACTTGTCTCCGCTAACCAGGTCCTCGATCACGCCGTAACCACTGCGGGCGTTGGCCTGGTACTCGCCCACGTAGATGTATCGGTTGTTTCGCATCATCCCATGGCCGTGGAACAGACCCTCGCAGAAGTTGCCCTCGTACACTTCACTTTCGGGAGAATCCTTGCTGTGGGTTTCGTAGACTCCGTAGCCGTGGAAGCGCCCACCTTTGAAGTGGCCCACATACAGGCCCGATGACGGAATCACCATCTTGCCGTAGCCTGCGTAAAGAAATAGTTTAATAAGTTGAGTTGGTTATGTATATCAACATAAAATATTTGTGTAAACCAATAAAGATGATTGGACTAAAAAATTTTGTAAACATAGGAAAGAATGTGCAATAGGTGTTTTAGAAAAATAGTTCGTTTTATATGTATCGCTCATTTGTGCTCTATATAGGCTTGGCTTTCATTCACACGTTGACCTTAATCTAGGCGAAATTTAAAAGATTTCGTCAAAATCATCACAAATTTTTAATTTGTACATATATATAATAACTGCTATTTAAACGGTGTCTGGTTTTAACTATTTAATTTTTTTTTGAATAGATCTCTTACCTTCGATGACGCCATGTTGCAGTTCCCCGCAGTAGACACTCCCGTCTGGATACTCCAGGTAGCAGTTCCCGTGGAGGACGCCCTTCCTCCAGGTGCCGCATGCCTTGACCCGGGAGAACTTCGGATGCTCCCGACTAAACTCGTATCCTGTGGAGCGAGTACTGGGCACCGGACTACCGAGCGGCCTGCCTAAAGATGCAACAATGCTCGACTGCAGTTGGTCTAGCCAGACCTTGCGCATTTCCTGCGAACGCGTGGACACCAGGAAACTCTTTTCCGGCGTTGTCAATCGCAGGCAAAGATCGCCCTCGGTCCAGACCCACAGGGTTGTTAAAGGATAGGAGTACAGCGAATTGCCGCCCACCTGGCACAGAAAGTCGGAGAAGAGGATGAAGCTGTTGCTGGAAATGCTGATGGCGGAGGTGACTAGTTTTAATGGAACTAGGGCTGACGTGAGGATCACCCTTCGTTCTCGTTTTCTAAACTGAACAATCCTGGGGTTACGGTCGTTGCTGCTCCAGAAATCCTTGGTATTCACGGCCAGCTCCTGGCTGATGCAGCTGTGCCTAGCGAACTCAGACCAGGCCACCCTGTGCTCTCCATACTCTGGCTGCGTCTTTACTAGCAGCTCCATGAACTGAACAAACAGCTGGTAGATACTAAAGGGTTGCTGGAACAACCGAATGACGTAGCTCTCCTCGTTTAGCTCGGCCAACGGGCTGCTAAGTCCAGCGATTGCAGCCACCGCTTCACCAAATCCATTCACCGAGTACACATCGCAATAGGACTTCGTGTATGCATCGAACAGGTCGATGTACTCCTTGTAGTGGCAGATGAACAGCAGATCGGCGGGTTGCACAAAGTCCGCCCGGTAGAATCCCTCTAGCGAATGCAAGGTCGCCACCAGCAGGCATAGCATTCGCTCCCAACAGACCAACAGCGGACCAAGGACGCTGATCGATTCCAGCGCAGATTGCCGTTGCCAGATTTCCAGCGTTTGGACTGCCTGCCGGTGCTTAAGCAGCAGCTGCAGTTGCGATTGCAGGTGGCTTAGGTAGTAGTGATACTGTCGCTGGAACTGCCTTTGGTTTTGCACAGTGTAACGCCCGGAACACATGAGCAGTCGGAGTTGTCGCGGCCACGCAGCTCCCAGCTGAAGCTGGAGGAGCGTCTGGGCATAAGTGCTGGATTGCTGCAGGTGTCGCATTGGAGGTGGCGGCTGGAGGGATTGTATCTGCCCGGACGCCTTCAGCAGCAGCGTGTGGTAGTCCCCGCAAGTTGCTTCCAGAGCCGAGTTCTGCTCTATAGGAAGCGATGCCACGTTATCCGCAATGGTAATCTCCATGGGCGAGCTTACATCCTCGCCCAACTGGGAGTGATTGTTGAGGCCCCAGTGGTAAAGTCTTCCGTCCAGAGTGCGAACCACAGTGTGCTCCAACCCGGCTGCAATGCTGCACACGCCCATGCTGTCCAGTTTCTGAAGGCGCGTAACATTGGCTCTCCGGATATGATCTCCGGTGCCAAGAAGCCCATTGTTGGATGCTCCGAAGGTAAAGAGTTGGGTGTGAAGTAGGGCGTATCCCTGGTGAAGCAGGTGCCTCGTGTTGGCCGCAAAGCTGCGCTCTGAGTTGTCACTGCTGAGGGATTTCACAGAGGCCCGTTCGTCCTCTGGTTCCTCCTTTGCATTGGCCACCTGTAGCTGTAGCACATCGTCAGCCAGATTGTAGGGGGCCACCAGCATCACAAAGTGCTCGTTTCCGGCTGCTAAGTCGAGCAGTTCCTTGCCTTCTTCGTATAAGCGCATGTGGCGGGGTTGTTGCTCCGCCTTAAAGACCTCTCCGCAGCTGCCCATGACATAGGTTTCTCCCCCAGCGCCGACAAAGACAACGCCCTGGGCGGAGCAGCAAACCCGCCGAATGCGAACGCCTTCGGCGAGCAGTTCCAGAGGGTCAAAGCCGAGGGTTTGCCAGGCGTGCGGGTGTCCCACATCCCGGCCAGATCCTATCACCTGGCGCTGTACGGAGCCGCTGCTCAGAACTACGAACAGCTCCTGGCGGCCGGAACAGAAGTCCACATCCACCACATCTGTGCGGAGGAGTTGCAGGTCCAGGTGGCTGCGGTTCGCCTGCAGCTGAGCGGAGTATAGGGCGTGGTCGGTAGTCAGGAGGAGCAGGCCCTCGCCAATGCTGCAGATCCGCGATGCGGGAGCCCGCCGCAAGGGAGGCAGACCGCGCCAGTGGAGCTGCAGGGTCCTGCCCTCATGGAAAATGGAGAAGGACTCCTGCTCCTCCTGACCCACGGATGTTGAGTCATCCGCTGCACTGGCCATAATGCGCGAGTTGTTGTGGGGGATTTAACCAGGGCCAAGGTTTTGTAACACGACGCAATTGCTCGAATTGCTTGCAAACTGTTCTCACATGCTGCAGTTGCTCTGATCTCCGCTAAGCGCTCGAAGCACCATTGAACGCATTACGCCGCAAATTGGAACGCAATTTTGGATGTCACGGTACCAAAAGTTCGATTTTCACTTGATTTTTACTGGCTAATATAATTCATGTTTTTGTGATGATTTCTGCGACTGAGTGTGGCCAGCTATTTTAAGTTCCAATTAGAATTTATAAAATAAGGATGTTCTTGAAAAAGTGAACTTCTGCTATTAAGCAATTTCCCAATTCGATTACTCGATTTTTTTTTGAGAATTCAAGAATTTATCAGTTTGAAGAGACTTGAATTTGTTGTATTTCAGCATTATAATACTTTTTAAATATGTTTATGTTTAAATACGGTATCAATTTTTAGGTAAGATTACGTTTAAATTGGAAAATTCAGATAATAGATAAAACGATATAAACTACTAAATATAAATTTTTTGCATCCCAATCGAACTGATTTTGTCATTAGCTTTATTTACCTACAATTTTTCATGGTATTTTTTCTTACCAACCCGGTTTATTTATTCGTATTTTGAATACGGTCATACCGTTCTCGCTATCAGCTGTTCGACCACAAAGTTTTCTGCAGGTTTTGTTTATTTCTATTAAAATGTAGTTTTGTCGATAATTATTGGGCATTACTTACAAGTAACTCAAAATTAAATCGTCGCTAAGTGTGCTGCAACATAAATTGGTACGTTTCAATTAGAGTGTTATGCCAATTATCCGACTGGCATCCGCCCACAAAACTTGTTTTTTAGCCACGAACTCACGAAATGAAACCCTTTCTACAGCTTGACAATGGAATCAGACTGCGAGGGCGCTGCAGCGTTGGCAGATGACTCCGGGCACTTTAGCTTCACCAGCGATGAGGGAGGAGGAAAGGAAAAGGAGCAGTCGATGTTTCTGGTGCGTCGGGAACTCCTTCGGTCGCGCAGCGAAGTGGAAAGACTACTCAAATCAGAACAGTGGTACAAGCAGGAGCTCAAATCGCAGAAGCACAGCAGACTGGAGACCCTCGAACGCTTGTACGCCCAGGAGCGAAAATATCTGATGGAGAACCAAAGGCTGCAGCAGGAATCGATGCGCCTACACACAAGGTGTGCAACTCTGGAGAAACAGCAGGAGCAGGGATCCCCAAGATCCGCCAGCGCATCTTCATTTAAGAGAGATTCGGAATCCCCCGACTCCTCCTTTGAGACAAAACAACAGGAGGCCCGGCTCCGGGATCAGCGTCAGTTGATAGACGTCCTCCGTAAGCAGAAAAAGATGCTTCTGGATGACATCCGGATACTCAGCCTGGAGCACGACGAAAAGCTGTCGCAGCTTCAGGAAACTTTGGCCGGCATGGAGCTAGAGAGCAAGCATGTGACGGGAAAATGCAAGCAACTACTCGACCTAAAGAGCCAAATGGAGCACCAGTTAGAACTGAAGAGCACTGCCCTGCGCAGTGTCACCGCCGAGCGGGAGCAACTCCGCCATGTCATCGCCGAGCTGAACGAGACTCTGCAAACCCAGGAGCAACTGCTGGCCTTAAAAGAACAGGAGTTCATCGATTTAAAACAGTACTACCAACAAAAGTTGACCCGGGAAAGCAGTTTGGAACTCATGCACTCATATAGTCTTAAGTTCCACAAAGAGATTAACAGCAAGACGAGCGAGATTGCCAGCCTTAAAAATTCCCTCAACGAACTTCAGACGGAGTTGATGATGATGTCCCAGTTGAAGGAGCAAAGCGAGGAGCAACAGCGGCAGCTAGAGCAGTTGGAGTTCACATTGCAGGCTCAACTTTTGGAGGAGGAACAGCTCCGACAAAGCGATGCTCTCAAACTGGAGCAGGTGGAGAATTTAACCATTTCTTTGACTACCTTGCAACTTGAAAAGGAAAGCCTGAAGGAAAATTTGAAAGAGGCGCAAAACACTCTGAAAAAGCTTGAGCAGAAAGTGCACAGCCTCCACGGTCAGTATGCCGAGATGGTTTTTAAGTGCGAAGAGACCAAGCTGCAATTGGAAATGGAAAAAGTCGAAATTGGCAAGTTTAAGCAGAAAAGTTCCCTCAAGGAAGGTGAGTTGGTTGAGAAACTCCAAGAGTATGCAGGTCAGTGTAATGAGCTTAGGAGAGCGTTGGCCAAGGCGGAGTCCCGAATGGATGTCCAAACCAAGAATGCAGACATCTGGCAAGAGCAGTTAAAAACAATTGAAAGATCCAGACAGCAAGAGACAAAGCAGAGCCAAACTACTCAAACCGACCTTGAGGATCCTATTCTAATCCATCGCATCGAGACTTTGGAAGTGCAACTGGCGGATGTCAAGACCCAGAAAATGCAAACAGTTTCGCTGCTCCAAAAACTGTTACAGCAGCAAGATGCCAAAATAAAGAGCACAAATGAAATGGAAGCAGACTGGGTACAACTTGTAGATGCCCTGCAAGCTACCCAGCAATTTGAGCAGAAAATGCGTGCAGAGCTTCAACATAAAACAATTGAATTAGAACAACTAAATCAACTTTTTGCTGGCCAAAATGAAGAACTACAGAAGCTACAGAAATTGAGCCTGGCAAAGGACGAGGAGAATCGGCTGGAGTTACAGCAGCTCAAGGAAACATTCCAAAAGAATCTGGAGATTCACTCCGCTGATTCGATAAACTTACACAGGCTACAAGACCAGGTTAAATCTTTGCTCGCGGAGCGACAGGAAACTACGCCAGAAGAACGCAAGGCGGTAGAGTGCTTGCGATCTCTGGGTCAATTTCTCGAAATGGAAATGGGGAGGAGGCTGCCAGAAATAAAGAGTTGGACACAGTTGGCCAAACTTTTGCGAAAAGAACTAAGAAACGGGAGAGTAAACAACCGAAAGGCTGAGGAGTTACCTGGACTTAAAATAAAGCTGGCGCAGGTCAACGGAAGGCATGAACAAGCGTTGACCAAAATAAAGGTAACATGAATAGTATAAAGTTTATAATACGATATCGATTAAAAAATTCGTTTAAAAAAGCTAAATATATGTGCCCTGCTTATCGCAATTCTGAGGTTACTTTCCATTTTAAAGCGGGCTAACTTGTTTTTTTTCTTAAAGTTAAATCGGATCTTATTTCTAAATAAATACAAATACATAACTTCTGGCGGTTATTTTACACCAAAATAGGCACAATTTATGTGTTTATTAAACTTTTTTAAATTTGATATGTAACAGTTTTATTGTGATGTTTTAGAGAACTAACTAACATATCCTCTAATATTTCTCTATTGGGTAAAGAACTGTTATTGTAAAAGAAACTAAAATATTTATATTTCGCACAGTATCTGGAGCAAACATTAGCAGCGGAGCGAGCGCGCTTTGAGGCCTCGGATTCGGGCAAATCGACGGCCAGCACCACACCCCAGGAACCCGCCCATGAGGTAGCAAATCTGATGGATGATTATAAGAAGGTAATTCTGATTTACTTGGATTAGTTATTATTGGCATCTATTAAACTGATTTTTCAACCCGCAGCTCGTTCAACAAACAGCCAATGAGACGTGTCGCCCCCGCAATAGCTTCATTCTAGACCTCATTGAGCGGAGTCAGCAATGTCAACCGAATTTGTGCCAACTAAGTGAGGACGTTATGGCCTGCCGCTCGGATATGGAAGAGCTAAGCAGGCTGCTCGTCGCTGATCGGAATCAACGGAAAGTGGAAGTCATTCCCTCGCTTATGGAGGAACTTCGAGCAGTGGCAGAGCACTCTTAGGCTCCCTAGTGTAATTTCATAACTAATTTTTCATGAAGTACTTAATTTGTTAGTCTCGAATTTTGTTTGTCTTTGAAGGTGCAATTATTGAGTTTATATTTTGTGTTTAACCTAGTCTCATTGTCTGAAAATCTTATAGGATCCTAATAGTTTAATTTATGAAAATATTTGTTGTTCTGTTTTTTTTATACTCGTTACATTTACTTTAAGGTTAAACATTCTGATTGTTTATTAATATTATTTAACCAAATTATTTATGAACAATATTTGCCAAGATATATATAACTATTTTTTCTATATTATACATCAACCATATTTGGTAGCCACAAATTATATATATATATATTTATTCATGTAGTGTATACAATAATAATATATTATATGTGTACAATAAAATATATTTGTGTCAAAGAAATTATTGGTAATGATTCACCTTCGTGGGCACCTGGGTATCTTAGTTCCGTCATTCGTCGTAATAACCTCCTTTTGTTCGTAAGTCGTGTTTCCCTCCTCGTCCATGTCCAAAACTTCCTGCATTTGGCCTTTCCTACTTCTGGTAATACCGCACCTTACTTTATTGTTTTTATCCATGCATATAATAAGAAGATCATGGTCCAGTTTCTCAGAGGGCTTTAAGACCTTGGTCACTTTGCAGGACGCGGTAAACTTTTTTGGGCAGGTCACACCGGCACATTGCCAACCATCTAGGGGAAAATAACTTTTTTAATGAAATGCACGTTGTAGACACTACTAGTACTTACTCTTATTTTTTTCTACCACCGCTTTATTCATATCCTCATTTAAGTGTGCAAATGCGTCAGACTTAAGTGAATTTATATTCTGAAATAAAGAATAACATGTATAGATTTCAAGAGTCTTCAGTAATTTTAATTTTTAAGGTTTCCAAGTTACCTCAGCTTCAGAGTCTATGGGATAACATAGACTAACCACAACTGTTAATAAGAATGAGAGACAAATATTCATAGCTGGTCCTTACTGATTCAGATTTCTTCTAAGATTACCTGCTGTAAAACAAATTAGCTCATTCCCCGTTTTGTGACAGTGAAAAATTGATTATTAGAAATATTTGTTAAATATTCATGGTTTGATACCTTCATAAGAGGGTTATTATATAATTTTTAAGTTCTTTAGTAACAAGGCTTAGAAATACTTCCATAAATGAATGCAATTATGGTTAAAAATGAACTGCAAGAACTAGGACTCTTAGTTATATTGGTACTATACAAAATAACTCCCTATTTTATCATTTGGCAAAATCAACTTTTAAGCTTAAAAATGGATTGTGAAGGCCTTCCCTGAATGATGTAAGCTGTGCCAAATCGATTTTGTGGCTTCATCTTCAATCAGAAACGGCGGCAGTCTTTTTCTTTTCTGTTCGAATATATTAAACGAAGGCACCCGACACCGCCCTTGGCATTGTCAACGCCTGGGATGGGACTCGAAGGAGTTCGGGGGAACGGGCGAACCACTTGGGTATTGATAAATGCGTTGAAAACTAAGCGACCGCCCAGTGGATTACCACCGCCCCACGCCAAGTTCCCCGATCCCCGGAAAGCACCTCCCGCAGCCAGCTCGCGATGAGGAGCAATCGACCACAATCGCTGGTCAAATTCAATTGGCGCAATTTTTCATCTGTGGCTCCAAGGGATCCGATCTGGCGGATCCTTTTGGGCTGTTGCTGCTGCCGTCTATTGTTGCTCTGGGCTCTGGCAATTGTTCTCGGCCCTGGATCTCTGGAGCTATGGTGCTATGGAGCTGCAGAGCCCTCTGCTCAAGGTTGTTTATTTTGAAAAATCACCATCACCCGATCGTGGCCTGTGCCGACGGCTGGGGATTTAATTCTACTCTGGACATTTATAAATTGCATTCAATTTATACACAACACGAAAGCGTGATTTTTACATTTTTACAATCTAGCGAATAATAGATCAGCGTCGTATTATTGCCGACTCCTCAATGCAATGCTCTTCAGAGCTGTGCTATGCTTTTTGAGTCTTCAGCCTGTATCATGAAGAAGGTTCTCTTTGGCTTTTTAATTGACTTAAATAATGTTAACTGAAGTATTATAAAAAGGATAAATGTGTATTATCGAATAAAAATGTTGTTCCTTAAAACTTTTATTACGTTAATGAGATCCCTAATGATATTAATCACATTAAACTTTTCAGTATAAATGATTGACAATCAAACTAATTAAATTTCATTTATTTAATAATATCCTAACGCTACTAAGTACATACTTATTCATTGCGTAAGTAACAATAATTTAAGGAAAGTTAAAAATAGTAATTCAACTAAAATAAATAGACAAATGTCTTTAAGGTTGCGAACATTTTTTTATTTTATAAATAAACTATGCATAAACAAAAATGGTAATTTCAAAAGGAACTTTGATTAAACACGCAAGTTACTCATAAAATCATAAAATAATTCGATTTAAGGTTGTTAAATTTTTTTAAAAAATTAAGTTTTCAATAGAAGACTGCATAGATTCAAGTGCCTATATTACAGATTATCACGACCAGTTTTGTGTTAGACTTTTTCATAGGATTAAGATTACCATTTGTACCTGTCCTGTTTTTTTTTATATTTGTGTTCCCGACCTGTTCTTTTCAGTATCTCGAACACAGAACTAATAAGGAAAGCCGCTAAATGTGACATAAAACAAAATACCTTGAGCCAAAAAGTATACCACTTATCATCCACATTAAAAAAATTACAATAATAAAAGCATTAATTCGGCCAAATGCTAATTAAAGTTTAAGTTTGTGCAGTTTAACATCCTGATTAAAACCAATTTTACCATTTTTTCACGTTAATGTTATCTTAAAGCTTATGTTCCGTTTCCGTTTATGTTCCTCAAATGTTTGTACGTATACATATTTAATATGTTTTAGTTTTTATCAAGCCATTTCAATTGTTCAGGAAACATTTAAAAAATCGCGCTTCTCTTAGCCTAAAAAAAATTTCTTTCAAGGCGGATTGTTGAGATTGATAGATTAAAAAAACTATAAACAATTTGAAGCGTGTTCTAATGTGCATAAAATTATGGTGGTGGCCCTGCACTTGAACAAATTGTTTGTGCATTTTATAGAGATATAGAATATATATAAACAGACCAACACTTATTATGTTTAGGGGAATTATTATAAAGTTGAAGGACGTTCTATTACATATAAAATGGGTGCTCCGTAAAAACATTTAAAAATATATTTTAAAGTATAGTTTATTTTCTTCCGAAAAGCTGCTATCTTCGGTGCAGTTTTAAAATAGAATGCCTATATTTTAGGATCACAGTTGAAAAACCAAAATACCCAGATATACAAGTTATGAAGGCTTCAGATGAATGTGGCTTCAGTCATAGACCATGACATTTAACCCCCGCCAGTATTTTTAAAACCACTCGTAACGATTGAAAGTCTTCGTTTGTTCAATTGAATGCTCCCTCGGGATACCCGCTTGCGGTCTATTAATTAAATACTATTTCCCTACCTCACCCCTTGAAATCCTCTACATTGCCCCCAAAGTTGGGGCATCGTTCGTCCGTCCAAGGGTATCATTTGATTCGATGAGAGTGCCTTTTGTTGTACTTTTCTTGGCTCTTTGATTTCGGTTCTGTGTATTGGGCAGGTCGCTCATTAAAGAGGGAGGAGCTGGCGGGAAGAAGGGTTTTTGACCAAACAAAAGGCATAAACCTTTAATTCTCACCAAAGCGATTGATGCGGTCGCAGGGCCAGAGCGACGATGTGGGGATACGGTCCTTCTTCTCCGCCTGGGTCTCAAATCTCAAAAGCCAGTCCTAGTGCCAAATTGCAAATGCAACTTGTTAACCTTGAAAACCGAGCGGACGGATGGGCCGGCGGACAGATAGTCAAGGAGCCTGAACCGCAGACCCGGCACAGTATGAGGCATTTAGTCAGACGTCGTCGTCGTTGCTGTTGTTGGTGTGGCTGTTGTTGTTGTAGTTGATACCACTGCTGCCGCTGTTGTTGTCCGTCTGCCGATCACTCGTTTGTCTAGCTGATGCCCCCCGCTTATGTGCTGCTACACTGAAACAAATATCCCCGAAGTCTTTGGATGGGAGGATAGCAGCCGGCAATTAGTCCAAGAATTCAATTTTTAAAAATAATGCCCTTAATAAAGACAAATTGCCTAAGATGTATGTGAAAGACCAGGTCTTACAGGTAGTCTTTTGGGTCAAAAGCATTAAGTACATTTGTTTATTATAAGTGTGCCGTTTAAACTATTGTAGGGGAAAAAAAATAATTTTTAATTATATCCTTTAATATTTTATAATTGATTAATTTGAAAAATTAATTTCTGTCAGTGCACTCAGCATATTGAATAATGCGTTTATGGCCAGATGAATGACACTTCATACATGCGTCCCTGGAGCTGCAACTTGCAACTGGCCACAAACCACTCGCAACGGAGGCTAGAAGGGTTAGGATGCCGAGCCTGCCTCCTGGTGGTGCATATTTCATGCGTAAACTTTGGCTTGGGCATCCGCCACTATTCGTCATTTGTGCCGGGCCATGTCAGAGCTGTGTTTGAAAGAAATTCGTTTAAATTGTCAATTGTCTGGGGTTCCACGGCTGCGGCTCCTGCTCCTGCTTCAGCTCCTGCTCCTGCGCCTCGGCCAGGAACTGGTTTCCAGCCACTCCTAATGAGGCGCATCAGCGGAAAAAATGGGAGTAAGGAGCGGGGCACGAAACGAACCGGCCCGAACCCTTTTAGCATTCAGCCGTGATGGTTGGTGGCCCCCACAGTGGCTGGCGATCCCAGGGCCTCGGTGCGTTTGCATTTAGCTGGCCAGGCACATTAAAGTCGAGTCAACTTACCCACATTCGAGCGGCATGTTTAGTGCCCTGCCAGTGGTTCTCATAGCCCAGCCTACTCCCCTTGGAATCCCAGGCCATCCCATCGCACTCCCACCGGAGGGGCCATTTCCATTCTGATTTGGTTTAAGATTCGGATGCGGATCGGATCCTGCTTACTGGGTGTTGCAATGTCATTCCCTGCATTTCATACACTCGTTCACTTTACTGCCCGGCCATAAATAAACTTGTATCTTTAAGATAGAAACAGTCGTAAAAAATCAGCAAATGACCCCGAGTTCTCCCATCTCCTTGAACCCCCCACGTCTAAGTCGCGTGAGAGCTTTTAGCCAGCTCCAGGGAACCATCAAACTGGTTAAATACCCAGTCAGGCCATTTGGAGCATCTGCAGAACATGTGTAAGTTTCCATATTAAATTTTATATTTAGTGCACGACTTTGGGCGCTTTATTTTCCCTTTTAGAATTTAGCATACAATGATATCGCAATGAAGATCCCTGTGAGATGATTTGAAGATACCACGGATGAGATCGTGATTGAGGCAAACATCGCGGTCATTAGAGAATTGACTTTTTGCGACTACTTAAACTTGTACACAGCTTTAGGCCATTTGAACAACAGAACAAGAAAAGATCACTTTAAGCACCCCGGAATGAGGAATTTCGATCATAACTCTTTTAAATCATTTTCCCTTCCAGATCTAAAGTCATTTAAAATAAATGTTAAACAGCTCACCTCATCATATTTTCAATTTAATAATTTTTCATCAGAATATTATAATCACTCTGAATAAGATTCCAGACTGCCAGAAGTGGCTGCAGGCCTTTCATTAAGCATAAATCATAATTATGTTCAGCATTTTACATCTCTTCGGGTATTACAAACACATATTTTGAGATGATGAGACATCTCAATGAACCTGTAATGCGGAGCTACGTGGGCACATTTTAATTTTCCTCCAAACGCGGCTAGAACACTTTGACCTAATTTATTTCAATTCAATTGAAACATTTCTGAAGCATTTAAAGACCGACCATAAAAGGCAGTTGAAATGGCTTTTTGTTGGCGAGAACTTAAGACGGTAGACGGTTCATGGAAGATCATAAAAAATAATTAAGAAGTTGGTACTTGGCACGATCTGGCTTTTTCTGGAAATGTGCTCTCTCC